TAATATCTAATAAATACGTTTCTAGATTAAAAAATGTCCAATAAATTCTTCAACTTTAAATTTGATATTAATTAGATCTAAAAATTTTAATTTTATATTTATTTTAGGGGTGATATACTCGATAAAAAATTTAAAAATCTATGTATTTATTAAACACAAAATAATAATAAAATTAAAAATCTTAATTTTATATATATATATATAAATATCGGTCCAAGTGGAAATTGTTTTTTATGACGAAAATACCCTCCACCGGAGCTAAAAGTTCTCCCGCACCAAACTTGCGAAGGAGTCGACAAGACAAAGGACATTTGGAGAGAGAGAGGAGACAGAGAGAGAAAATGGATAGGGTATTCTCAGTGGGTGAAATTTCTGACCAGTACTGGTCGTCTCAACCCGCCGCCGATCCTCCGCCGTCACGGCTGCCGCCGACGGCTGACGAAGGCTCCAAAATGAACCGTAGCGCATCGGAGTGGGCCTTCCAGCGATTTCTTCAAGAAGCCTCTGAAACTTCCCCTCATTCCTCTGCTGCAGACCATGACGAAGTTATCGAGATCAAGGACCCTGCCTCTAATCAATTGCAGAAACTTAATGCTAATCGCGATGGCGCTAGTAATTGTAATAGCAGCAGCATTTCTACCAATGCTGGGCCACCGAATATTCCGATCGATTCCGAGGAATATCAGGCCTTCCTTAAGAGCAAGCTTCATTTGGCTTGTGCTGCCGTCGCCATGAAGAGGGTAAAATTTCCCCCCTATTTTCTCCTTATTGATGGGAGTTGTTGATTTCTTTTCTGTGTTCTGTTGATGAGAGAATTGAACAATATATTAGAAATCTGAGCAATGATTTTGACATTGCCTGTTTAATCCGTTCGTTTATGTACTGATCCAGTAGGGGACTGGTTTATCAAATCTCTAGTTATTTAATTTCTTCTTTTTCCCTTTCTAATCTGGATTTATTCACATTTTTTAGTTTCTATTTAGGAAGAGATTTAGCTCCAAGTGTCTAGATTGCTGGATTCAAACACTAGGAGTTGTTTTTTCGTTAATTTTCTTATGGAGGTATTGTAGAAACTATGATCAAGCGTTTTCTTATATTTCTTTTAGGAATTTCAACTTCTTCATGTATGAAAACGAGATATTATTTGGATTAATGTTTGCGGATATGTCTTCCCTTTCCCAGAACCAACCTTCGTATGAAAAATTACTCCCATTGGAATAGATTGATTGTTGAGATTCGAATGAATAATTGCTTGTCTGCATAGTCTTTAGGAAAAAGAAAAAGCATATTCTGAAAGTTATCAAGTTTGATAAGTTGCTGAAGCTGGAAAAATCTACTGTTCATCTGTATGAAGAGATTTACTAGAAGGTAAAGATGGTTTAACCTTTTTAGAAGCTCTAGAGGCTTTCCTTTGAAGTAAATTTTCAGATGAATTATGGACTATGGCTAACTCACCTTCTCTGCTTTTGGTGAGGAAGAGCCCAATCACGATTTCCAGAACCATTTCATTGATGACTTGAAAATGTTGAGTCTCATTCTTTGTGGTGCCATTCATGATATCTAAAACCTTACTCTATTTGACTTATAGCGATAGGAGTGGGTATGACAAGATGAAACAGTATGAAGGGGAATGCTGCTGCTGTTATCTTTTCAAGTTTGGAAAATTATGAAGGGATTAATCTTGAATGATGTTAGGGGAGATAAGGAGGTTTGTGATATTTGATAACCATGGATATTCGTTCTAATGTATGTGTGTGTCTCGTCTAATTCAAATGAAAAACTGCCGGACCTTAAAACGCTCGCATAGAATGTTTAATATTTTCTTAGGTAGGTGATACCGTTGATTGTATCTATGTAACGGCCAAAGCTCACCGCTAGCAGATATTGTCCTCTTTAGGCTTTTCCTTTCGAACTTCCCCTCAAGGTTTTTAAAACGCATCTGTTAGGGAGAGGTTTCCACACCCTTATAAACAATGCTTCGTTCTCCTCCCCAACCAATGTGGGATCTCACAATCCACCCTCCTTCGGGGCCCAGTATCCTCGCTGACACTCGTTCCTTCTTCAATCGATTTGGGACCCCCCAATCCACCCCCACCCTTCGGGCCCCAGGCCCTAGTGTCTTTGTTGGCACACCGCCTTGTGTCCACCCCCCCTTCGGGGCTTAGCCTTCTCATTGGCACATCGCCCAATGTTTAACTCTGATACCAATTGTAATGGTCTAAGCCCACCGCTAGGAGATATTGTCCTCTTTGGGCTTTCCCCTCAAGGTTTTTAAAACGCATCTGCTAGAAAGAGGTTTCCACACCCTTATAAAAAAAAAAATGTTTCGTTCTCCTCCCCAACCGATGTGGGATCTCACAATCTATGACCTCGTGACTTATAAATCTCAAGTTACTACTTGGGTCCACTAGAAGCTTAGGATTTTGTTAGCTGAATGCTTTCTTTGGATGCTCAATTCCAGTGTCTTCTCAAACACTTTATTTCAATGTCACGTTATAGCTACCTATACTCCTCTAGCCTGATTCCTAGTCATCTTGATGTTAATTTCATTCAGTGTTTTTTTAATAAGAGACGAAACAAGCCTCATTCGAAGACGATGATAGCCAAAGAAAAACAACCTTAAATGACAAAGGGGCAAGACGTCCCTTGTAATAGATTAATTCATTTGTTTTTTCTATCACCAAATGAAAAGACAGGAAGAAGATCTCGCGTAATACTAGCCATTGGACAGTCGAAAACTGGCCTGTCTAAAGAAGTAATATCAACTGCTGGAAACTAGGAAACGTATTTTTTTTTCTTTTACTTCTTTCTTATCTGTCTGATATACGTGATCTATACTTGGCAAATCCTAGCTGATATAGGATGAAGTAAAAGCTTTATTTTCATATTAATTGATCTGAAGAGTTAAAGTTGGTGGAATGTTGTTATCTGTATGAGCAGGGATCCTTTACAATGGCTCCGACTTCGTCCACCTCAGCTGACTGTGGATCACAAGCATCTAATACGTTTGGTGTTCAAGCTCCAAAAGGTTGGGATCACTGCTCGTCTATTTTTCATTTCCCACAATTAATATGACATGTTATTAGATCTTTGTCTTTCTTTGTGTATCGTCAATATCTTTTAGCTATCCCGTTACGTCGGTGATTAGTTAAATGAAGTACTGAATTCTAGATTTTAATTTTATCCATATCCTTCCCTTCCATAGCTTCTAATATAGGAGCTGGGAATAATTCATTAAGGTCACCAGATAAGGATATAAATAGAGTCCTTGGAGTTGCATCCTCACCTGTGGTGCCAAAAATATCTGAGGTTCAGGCTGGGCCAGTTACTAGTGGATCATCAAGAGACGTATCGGACGATGAGGATGTCGAGGGAGAAACCGAAACAACCGAGAGTAAGGACCCTGCCGATGTAAAACGTGTAAGGAGGTAACTACCTGCATAGAACCATTTTAGGGACTGCAAGTATTGGACTTTTTAGTCTGTCCTCACCTTTCTTATACCAATGATCATGATAAATGGGACTTCAAGGTGGTGGTTTTTGCCTTGAAGTGGTTGTTGTGGAGTTCTTGTTTCTTATTGAATGTTTTTCATTGTTCGTGGTGTTTTCAGAATGCTTTCAAACAGAGAATCAGCTCGACGATCACGAAGAAGAAAGCAAGCGCATTTAACTGAACTCGAGACACAGGTGTCTGTTCACTCGTGCCTACAACTCTCTGTCCAGTGCCTTTATACCTCTTTTTAATATGCTGATCTGATACACTGATTCACTTTCTTTACATAAACCAAGGGTGCCCAATTAAGAGTTGAAAATTCGACCTTGTTGAAGCGCCTTGCCGATATAAGCCAAAAGTACAACGAAGCCAACGTCGATAACCGGGTTCTAAAAGCTAATATCGAGACGTTAAGAGCAAAGGTAGAACAACAATCCTTTGGTGCTCAGTTTTCCTTGACAAGCCTTGTTATTAAGGACAATATTGTTTCCACCTTGGCAGGTAAAGATGGCCGAGGAGACTGTCAAGCGAGTTACTGGTAACCCAATGTTCCATGTCATGTCTGATATCTCCTCCATTGGCATCTCCTCATTTGACGGTAGCCCGTCTGATACATCGACCGATGCTGCTGTTCCTTTGCAAGATGATCCATGTCATCATCTATATCAGTCTACATCTAATAACCCTGTCGGACCACACGACATAGTTGTCAACAATGGATTGGCTGACATGTCACATGTAGGCAGTGGACAGAAGAATTCTCCGTCTCCCGTACCGACAGCCATATCGGGGAACAAGACGGGAAGATTGGAGTCTTTGCAGAGAGTGGCTAGCTTGGAGCATCTGCAAAAGCGAATCTGTGGAGGCAAAGCAAATGCAGAGAAGTAGATGCAGCAGGCAAGATTTGGAGATGGCCCTTACATTTGTGAATGATTTGTTTTTTTTTACCTCATGAGGTGAAAAAGAGCTTTAGTTGTGGAGATTGATGCAAAGGATTCTTACCTGTTATGCTAACAACATTGAGATTGATCATTGATCATTGATGCTGTTAATTTTGTGGCCTCCTCCCATTTACCATGTAATAATTCTAAATGAAACAAGGTGATTGTCATTCAATAATGCTCTCTTGTTCTTGTTCTAAAAATGCCTCTTTTGTTAGCAATGGATAAATTCGGACCTTGTGTTTATTGAGTTCAATTGAGAACCTTTCTAAGAAGAATCAACTCAAGGGAAACTCTATACCAATTGAAAATAAATTAATCTAAGACAAAGATCTAATGCCAAATGATAAGAAATCAATTCAAAGGAAAATTCTATCAAATAATAAGAAATGCTATGAAATGATAAAGAATCAACACTCTGCCACTAAATGATAGAAATCACCGTAGAAAGTAAGATTCAGATTCGAATTAGTTTGTTGATCAAATATCTCGAGAACATTTGTTTGAGATTCGAATAACTCTTAATAAAAAAAAAATTATCCAAGAGAGAGAGAGATTGCGAATGTTGTTCTCCGTCCCTCCAATGACTTCCCATGGCGTCAATCAAGAACCAAACTACAGAGACTCTGCCTTTGGAACCCACCCCTTAAGCCCTAATGGATGGAACAGAAATACCACGAGAAGATTTGAAATCAGTGCCGGGTATTTTCTTCTTCAATTGATCATCCATTTCAATCTCTAATGATTTATACAAAGAATTTGAGTTCCCTTTTGAAGTTTTACTTATGTTCCGCTATGGGCGAGGCATTCGCCTTCTTAGTTCATCTTCAACAGGTAGAAGGATCAACTGGGATCCAACTGTGAACCTTAAACTCAATCACCCATCTCTTGTTTTGCTTGAAAAATGCAACTCAAGAATCCAATTCAAGCAGATTTTAGGGCACATGATGAGAAACAATTTGATGGGCCAAACATTTCCCATGAGTAGGCTTCTTTTTTTCTCTGCTATTTCACATCCTGAGAATCTGGAATGGGCAGTTCTTCTGTTTAATCACTTCACTCCTGATCCAAATGTTTTTATATTCAACACCATGATCTTAGCCTTTTCATTTTCAACTGAGAAGGCTTTTTCCATTTATAGTTCTATGCTCCAAAAGGGCATTTACCCAGATAGGCAAACACTCATTTATCTTCTTCAGACTACAAAATGTGTTGCTGAATTGAAACAGATTCATGTTCATGCCTTAGTTATTGGTTTGCTGGCTAATGAAGGGTACTTGCAAAATTCACTGATCAAGATGTACTTAGACAATGGATGTTTTGACTCTGCCCACCAAGTGTTCGATGAAATGTCGAGTCGAGATGTTGTCTCCTATAATATCATGATTGTTGGACTTGCTAAGATGGGAGACATTTTAGAAGTGTTGGAACTATTCCATGATATGAGGGCTCATGGTTTTGAGCCTGATGATATCACTATGTTGGGCCTCTTCTTGTCATGTGGGCAGTTGGGTGAGGTAAAGTTGGGAAAATCTGTTCATGCACAGATTGTGAAGTCCAATGGTTCTTCAAATTTGATATTGTATAATGCCCTTTTGGACATGTATGTGAAGTGCAATGAATTGAAGCTTGCTCGAAAAGTTTTTGATATGTTGATGGAGAAGGACGTGGTTTCATGGAATACGATGATTGCAGGATATGCCAAGGTAGGTGAATTGGAACTTGCTTGTGAGGTTTTTAATCAGATTCCTACAAGAGATATTGTCTCCTGGAACTCTTTAATTTCTGGTTATGCACAGAGTGGTGATTATGTGATGGTCAAAAGTTTGTTTACTCGTATGTTTGCAGAGAATGTTAAACCCGACAAGGTCACGACGGTTAACATGATCTCTGCAGTAGCAGAAATGGGAGCTTTAGATCAGGGGAGATGGATTCATGGATTAGCAGTGAAAACTCAGAGCCTAAATGCATTTTTAGGCTCTGCATTGATTGACATGTACTGCAAGTGTGGAAGCATCGAAAGAGCTTCAGTTGTTTTCAATCAAATTGCTGAAAAAGATGTCACAATTTGGACAACAATGATCACTGGATTTGCCTTTCATGGATATGGAAACAAAGCTCTGGAACTATTCTCTGATATGCAGACCGAAACAAAGCCTAACAATGTGACTTTTGTTTCAGTTCTCACAGCATGTAGCCACAGCGGATTAGTTGATGAAGGGCTCAAAATATTTAGCAGCATGAAGAAAAGATACAGTATCGAACCAGGGGTCGAACATTATGGATGTTTGGTCGATCTGTTGTGTCGTTCAGGTAGGTTGTCGGATGCGATTGGTGTCATAGAAAAGATGCCTATGGAACCCAGTCAGTCTATCTGGGGAGCAGTACTGAGTGCGTGTAGGATGCACGGAAATATGGAACTAGCAGAGAAAGCTTTGATGGAGCTGCTCAAATTCGAGCCCGAAAAAGAGGGCGGATACATTTTGTTGTCTAACATGTATGCGACGTGTGGGAGGTGGAGACATTCGGACAGCATTAGAGAAGTAATGAACAGCAGGGGAGTGAAAAAGATTGCTGGCTGTAGTAGTGTGGTGGTAGATGGTACGGTCCATGATTTTACAGCTGCAAATAAGCAGCATCCAAGATGGATGGACATCTGCTCTACGCTAAGCTTTCTAACAAGTGAAATGAAGTTGGAACCGGATGTTCCATAACAAGATCACTTGGCTAACAGTTGAAATTAGTTGAAAGGTTTCAAGAGCTCGGTTGAAAAGAAATGTCACCAAGGGACTCAACCGCCTTAGCAATAAAGCTTCCTCCGTCTTATCATACCTCCAGCAAACAAACTTCAGGGGAGTTCAACAATTTTTGTCTCTTTGCCGGTGATATGAACTTTTGATCCCATATCGTGAATAGGAGAAGTTTCTCGTAGTCTGTGCTATTTGATTCACTTGGCTAACCGTTGAAATTTGTCGAAAGGTCGAAAGCTCAAAAGGTTTCAAGAGCTCAGTTGAAAAGAAATGACACCAAGGGGTTCAACCACATTAGTAGAGATCTCTTCGTCTTATTGTACCTTTAGCAAACAAACTTCGGAGGAGTTCAACAATTTTTGTCTCTTTGCAGGTTTTGATCCCATATCGTGAATGGGAGAAGTTTCCCGTAGTCCATGCTATTTGATACACTTAGCTTAGCTAATAGTTGAAATTCTTGAAAGGTTTGAAGAGCTCAGATTTGAATATTGATCTCAACTTGAATTCATTCTTTGGGTCAATGAAGGAAGTAGTACTTTTTGTAAGTGTTGTTTGCTCCTCACGTCGAGTCACTTGGAGTCGTACTTGGCACCACCGAACGATGTGTTGCTAACAATTTTTATTGGTTAATCCACAAAGAAGATTACAAAGATCATGATAGTTGCCGGAAACGGGTATGCCCTTCTTAATCTTTTTAGGGAAAGAGACACGCTGATGAGTAGTTGGATGGAGTTTGTCTTCTGAATACAGGTTTGATTAAATTGATATATCGATGTAAATGCATCCCTGAATCAGAGATATGAACATACATATTTGTTTATGAAATAATTGACAGCAATTCCTTCTAGGAATTGACTTTTCATGACAGCGCTCTAAGTAGAGATTTATGAAATGTGTGCAAGATTTATAGTGCTGGCACACCGACTCGTGTCCACCCTCTTCGAGCTCAACCTCTTCACTTGTTCATCATTCGATGTCTAGCTCTAATACTATTTGTAACCGTCCAAGCCCATTGTTAGCATATTGTCCACTTTGAGCTTTTCTTTACGGGTTTTCTCTCAAGGTTTTAAAATGTGTATGTTATGGAGAAGTTTTCACACCCTTTTGAAGAATGTTTCGTTCCCTTTTTCAATCGATGTGGGATCTGATACCAAACATAAATATAAGTCCATGAAACATGAAAGAATTGTGAAAGGAAGAGGAGGAGGTAATGGCATCTTGCACAACTTTAACATTAGGTTAAATGAGTACACTCTTTATAACATGGAGGAACCTATTTTCCAGAGTTGGACTGAAGCAGCTGAGGCAGAGTGGGTATGGAGGTGTACAAGTGTAACATACTAAATTTACACATCGCCTGATTAGTGTAATATTTACAAAATCAGACCCAAAAAATGATTTCCCAATGTTACAATAGGCCGACATTAAAGCATACTATAAGAGCCTAATACCATTACTTTACCTGCATCCAATTCAAACTAGCAGCACCTATCAATCTGAAACTCTAAATCAGCTAATTAGACCAAAAATTTCCCTAGACATGTTGCCACATCTCCAATGAAGTCTAATGTTACAAGATCCTCCAACTTTATCCCACAATTTTATCGTCACCTCTGCGATAAACTACCTTTCGCTGTCGTTGCGTGCTTCGCCGATCGAAGATTTAAGAACATGTAGTAAATGGTGAAAATAATGCCATGCCAATTCTCACTTATCAACTAACGTTACAAGTTAGTCACAAATGAGAGGCAGGTACATTTACCCATTACGAGGTTGAGCCTACAATTGCTGTTATTTCACTACCCTCTCTCAATCCTTGAAGGCACATATGCAATGTTCTCTGGACACCATCTGCTACAATTCTCAACCTTCCTTGGCTAACATCTCCGGTTGAATTACTCACTTCGACTGTTCGAGCCACCCTCTGTTTAGATTTTTCCCAGTCATCAACGCGTAACCAGCATGCTCGGACCCCGTGGCTTCCTTCCATACCAAGAAACGAAACAACGGGGCTTTCACCGAAGGAATATCTCAACTTCACTGAGACACAGTATGGCAACCAGGCAGCACCACCCGCTGCATTCATGTGTGGTATATGAGCAGGATCGAGTACAACAGTGAGAGCGAAATCAACAGAGTTGTGTTGCCTATCATAATGGATATTGCTTTTAGAAGTCGATCGTTCAGACTTTTCATCTATACTCAACCCGGAATGATTCTCAAGACACAATTCGATGCGGGGTTTTTGTGCAGGAGCAATATCTCCACCCTGTGCCTGAGCCACTCCCTTTTTCCATGCTATCAATTTCAAAAATTCTCTTAAAACCGATATTGGCAATGTGAGGAGAGTAATGAAAGAGGCAACACGAGAAGCATCGTATGGCTCTGATGCAACACGACGGCTAAAATAATCACATATTTCACCAATTTCTGTTTGTGTCAACTCCTCTTGTGCTGTAGTGGAGTTTTGTTGCTGTTGTTGATGATGGAAACGCTTCACGCTAAGCACTTGGAGAAGCAGTTGAACTCTATGAACGCTTACAGCAAATACATATCCCCTACACAAAATATGTACTTGGATGAATTGCAAATTCCTTCAGAAATTACCATAAAAACAAAGTTCTGTAGCACAACACATGTTGAAGTAATGAACATGTCTTTTATTATTGCATCTTTAGCAGAAAATTTTGGGAGAAATTCAGAACTTCTCAGGTTTTTGTGCAAAAGTAAAGAACAGGAATCAGTTTTTGGAAGGCAGTTCAAAAGAAAAGCAAAGTTGTGATGGATAAATAAGAGCAAAATCAAACAAATAGGATTAAAACAGCAACATACTTACCCCACAAAGAAACGTAAGGCAGGCTGCTCAGGATCCAAATTCAGCAATGCACCTTCGTTGTCCCTCAAAATTGAACCTAGGATCTCTTTAAGAAGATCTGGAAGCTGGGCAAACAGCCAAAGAACTCCGAGGTATTTGAGAATACCTCTCAGAACTTTCTTCAGAGCAACAAGAGGAACCCAACCTCCTCCATAGCCCCCATCATCCCCAAGTCCAATAATGGCTGTATTCAGTTCACCTCTCACGTGTGCAGGGACACCGGTGCCTGGTGATCTCCGTAATGGCAATCCTGAGCTCACAGAAACCAAATTTGAAGATCCAGACAGAGCATTTCCTACACGATTTATGTTAGCCACCTGATTTCCTGCCCTAGGCATTGCAGGAGAACCAGGAAGACTAGGTCTGTTTCCATTTGCAGCAGTGATCGAGCTCGAATTTGGATTCTGATTGTTTGAGGCTGACAATCCAACTGTTTGTTGAACACCTGGGAAGTTTGGCTCTAAGCCATTTAATTCTTGGGCAACATGCTCCATAATAAATGGCCGGAATTGTGGGCATGGTAATGACCCTCCAACGGAAGGGTTGACCTTCGCAGGCGTTGCTGGTTGTAACCACACTTGATCTCCTGCAAAGCAGCGCATGTCAACTGCAAATTGTTTCCGATATATTATTCTTATCCAATATGGACCACGCAACACAACGGAAACATCTATTGGCAACAATGAACTAGGAGCAATGCCAGGCCCGCCACGCCCAGCAGCAGCTAACATTGCAGCCCCATGAAGGCTATGATTTGCAAGAGGGCCAGAAACATTTGCAGAAACAGTGTTCCCAACTGGGCCATTGGTAACTTGGCCAGTGTTCGCGGCTGAACTGCCAGGTAAAACACTCTGGGTTGGTGTGTATCCTCCATGCTTTGGAAAGGATGAAAGAGCTGCAGCTATGCCAGGAAGTGTCGAAACAGGACCAGCTCGAGCAGGCCGGGTTGCTGCTGCAAGAGCATGTAGTGGTCCAGCAGTGAGACGAATGCAATCCAAGAGTGATGCAACTTCAGCTCCGTTTATAAAATCTTCCAAAAACTGTTCACACCAAAAAATATATACACATTAACATATTTATGAAAACTGAAAATATATCCAGGCAAATTTTTTAACTCGTGTCCTAATGACTGGAAGAAAACATGACAAAAGCACATATATCATCAATATTCAAATTTATGATGAATTTAAATATTTTGTAGCATTTTGTAAAGGAAAATTATTTAAATAGTATATTTTAAAGAAGATAAATATATATTGCTTCCCCATCTTTAGAAAAAAAAATAAAAAATAAAAAATAAAAAATAAAAGTATACAATGAAAGAAGTCCTACATGGAGAATGGAAAAAAGTACAATATGATAAAATAAATAACAATAGGGGGGGCATTAAACACACCTTTGTATGAGGCCAAAGCTGATCCGGTGAAACGTGCATAGTGCAACCCTCTTTACCTGATTCCCACTCTACAACAAAACGGGCCAGCACACCAGAACCAAAACTAAACCACAAGCTCATTAACCCAACTGCCTCAATTCTAAATGCCCTCCTCATCTGTTCGGTTAACTTATCCACAGTGTCAGGTGCACCTTTCGTAACTGGTGCCTTGACATCTGAGGTCAGACTACTTTCTTCTAGCTTCGCATCTGTTCCAACCCCAAGCAGTTTTCGCATCCCAATGGCAAACATTCTTGCATTGGAGAGCCTTCGTATATCTGCCACCAACTTGTCTATGCTATCTGCCTCTACTGATTGATAACTGAGAATAACACCTTCCGGATCATAACGAATGTGAGAGTCTTTGTCAGATGTATTCGCTATTCGAACATCAGGGCCCCATGGAGACTTACTACTTTTCTTCTGAAGCTCCCACAAATCTCTGAAGTGCTGGTCACGTATCTTGACATCCCAACACATGGTTCCAGGCCTTCCAAGTCTCAAGCATATGTGTTGCCATGAATCATCTCTGGCAAATGGAAGCCGGAACCATATATTTGTTGATGCATTTCTTAAACCAACTTCTTCAACATATGGAATATCAAGTGCATCCATCTGGCTGGTAAGTCTGGCATGTTTGATACATAGTGAACAGTGTCTGATTACATGAAGCAGAGCAGAGACATATGTACTCGAAGGTGCACTGCCTTTGTTCGCTTCAGCAATAAGGTTACCATAACTGTATTCAGTTTTGGATACCATTTCTTTTGAAATAAGCAAATGTGATGAGGGTTTAGTAAATCTAGCAGATTCCAAGAGCTTCCTTCTCTTAGAGAGCCCATTAGGTGCATCAATACCTTTAAGTGACGGGATTAAGCTCAGCACATTTAAAGCGGTACGCTTCGGAAAACTGTCACTTTTTAGACCACTTTCATACACGGGACTAGAGCAAGAATCTTGATTCTGGGCTGAAAAATGTACATCTCTCAAGTTAGTGAAAGTAAACAACTATCCCTTTTTTATAAGTTCAGAGCTTCAATTGTTAAATTACACGCAGTCAACCAATAACATAGAAACTCAGAGAAAGTGTCTTACATACGGGAGTTGAAACCAATGAGCAAGATCCAGAAGGCTTTAAAGATCCTGTTGGAGCTGCAGTTGGCGAACTTCTGGATCCATTAGGGTTTATGCTTGCAGAAATTCGAGAGCCACCATGTTGCGATGGAGACAATAGCCGAGAAGACCTATTTGCGTACAGCCCATCCTTTGACGTATCATTTGGCATACTTATATGATCATCATCCAACGCAGTATAAGAACCAACCTCAACAGGATTTGGGAATCTAAGGGAAGTTAAATCCTGTTCAGATTTTGAATTTGAAAGCCGTCTCATAGCAGCACCCCTTCCCGGACCAGAAGAAATAGAACCCAGGGATGTCGAATGCACTGAACCCTTTAAATTGCTAGTTGAATACAAGGAACCATTGCTGTGCGAAGGAATATTTGAGAGTTTTGCAACATTATTACCCTGGGATGGCTGCATACCGACTTC